TTATCTTCATTTATGTGTATATTTAAGCCAAGAGAATAGATGAATTCTTCCAGGAAGAGAAGATTTAAAGGAGAAAAAAAAAAAAAGACTCAATGATGGGATCTAAGGAATAATAGTTAAGAGGCAGGAAGAAAACTAGTTATTAAAAGAGGTCAAGACAAAAGTATCAAAAAGGAAAAGAGAGATACCAGTGTTCTAGAAGGGGAATAAGAAATTTCAAGGGGAGAATGATTTATTATGTTTATTCAGACAGAAGTCAAATATAAAAACTAAAGTTTATATAGACTAATTGCCAGTTAGAATGTACATTAGTGGCAGCTGAACATGGTGGTACACATTGTAATCCCAGCACTCAGGAGGCTGAAGCAGGAGGATTGTCACAAACTTAAGGCCAGCCTGGGCTATAGAGTGAGAACTTGTGTCCAAAACACATAGATACACTGCACACACAAACATGTGACTTCAGGGAGAACAGATTCCGTGAGGAGGATGAATAAAGGTGGGGATAAGAGCATGTGTTGCGGTTAGATGATTATGGATAGGTGAAAAATTATAGACCACTATGATTTTAAGACGTGTTGTTTTAAAAAATATTTCATTACTATTGTTTTATGTGTATAAATGTATTGCCTGCATGTATGTAAGTGCACCTGTGTTGTGCAATGCCCACAGAGGTCAGAAAAGAGCATCAGATTCCCCTCAACTGGAATTGCCAGTGGTTGTTTGCTGCCATGTGGGTACTGAGAATTGAACCCGGGCCCTTGGCAAGAGCAGCCAGTGCTCTTAGCCACTAAGCCATCTCTCTAGACCCTTAAAATGTATTATTATATTAGATGAAAAGAGGCTGGTCAAACTTTTTTAGGGTAGGAGAACAACTTAATCATATTAGTGAGCCGCTGGAAGGAACAGAGAGGGAGCTATTGGAGATGTACAGAAAAGGAATGCGTGCCATCTTCCTGCCTGGCAGAGCCTCTCCCTTCCCTATGATGATTTGCTGTGCGATTGAAAATGCGTTACTAAACCTGTTAGATGTATCCATAAATCAAATATTTATAGGCTTAAGCCTTTGAGGAAAGTGACATCTTTTTGACCTTGATCTTTGCCAGGAAGTTGAAGTCTTACTATTTTAGACTATCTTAAATAAGGTATATTGCTACTAAATCTAGTTATACTTTCCAGAAGAATGAGGATGATGCAAAATTTGCTGGTGTGTTCTAGCTCTAGGCAGTTGGTCTTTTCTTTTAACTCACCTACAGAGTATCTTGGGAGGAGAAAGCCCCCATTCTTCATGCTGCTTCTCTGCCTGCCCCTTTTCAGTGTGATAATCTGTTGGTCAGTTTCTATCTTCTTTTACCTTCCTAACAGTAAAGGAAAGTCACACATGACTTGGCCTTTTGCTTCGATTGCCTGCCCTTAATTTAGTTCCCCTTCCTATTTTCAATAGTGTGAAGCTAGTCAAGGCCTGTACAGTGTTTCAATAAATGTTCTGCTCTGTGAGTTTATTGCTCAGTTTGAACAGTAGTGTGGGATAGAAATTTGTTTGCACTATTACATAGCATTATTAGTATTTTCCAATATGTAAATTCTCAGTGAAATAAGGCTTTAGAAGATAATAAAGTGTTATATAAGTATATTGGGGCCAGGGTAATATATTTCCTAGGAAATTTTCCCATTAAAAAAATTCAAGTAGGGCCAGGTGTGGTGGCTCACGCCTTTAATCCCAGCACTCAGGAGGCGGAGGCAAGAGGATCTCTGTGAGTTCAAGGCCAGCCTGGTCTACACAGTGAGTTCCAGGACAGCTGGGGCTATAGGGAGACCCTGTCTCAAAAAGACCAAAAAAAAAAAAAAATTCAAGTAATGAATTTTTGTTACATATCTTATTTCAGCTTTTAACTTTCTCTGATTATAAACACTGACTATAGGAGATTTGGAAGAAACAGAAAAGTACTGTTTTAGAAGAGGAAGTATATAACAAACATACATTTTTTAGGCTACAGACTCACATAGCAACTGCTAGCTGAAATGTTTTCATGGGAAGGTTCACAGATTGTCCCCAACATGAGCAGCTCTTAACCACAGTGCTAGAACTGAGCTCCCCAAAACACTAGCCTGCTTCTAAAATACACATTGGATTCTTCAGTGATCCCCTCCCTCTCGTCATCTTCATGATTGAACATTGCCAGCTTTATCACATTGCATCCTCCACCTCTGGCATGGGCCCCAAGCAATTTCTAGTTCCTCGAATGTGTCGAGTTCTCTCTGCCTCCTTTTTATGTTCATGGAACGCCCTCCATTTCCCCTTTGTATTTCATATAGTAATAATGTCTTGTGGCCTTGCGTCACTTCATTGTAGGTAGAGTCCCGACAGCCTCCCCAGCCTAGATTGAGCCCTATGCCCCTTCTAGTTTCACATCGTTCTCAGTGCTTTCTCACTCACAGTGTTCATCTTTTGCGACACTGCTTTGCTCGTCCGTTTGTCCATGAAGCCATAAAACCAGCAAAGTAGATACTAGATTAGGTATCTAATAAATATTTATTAAATAAATAAGTGATATCTCTTTGGAGTTTTTTTAATATGTAGACTAAGTTGCATGTAGTAACATCGATATAGATAATCAGAATTACCTTTTTATTCTGTTAATATGAGAAAAATTTCTAGAAGCAACAGTATGGGAGTGAAGTAAGGATTTACTTATGCATAAGATAGATTGTGAGGTAGGAAGGATAACCTGTCATTAGTGAGTGAAGAAAATTGAAAGAATAATCACTTTGGGTTGTTAATGAAAAATGGTTACCAGATGAACTATAGATACTAATAATATCACAGTCCATTTGTAAGAATTGGCTACATAATATATGTTAAGGTACTATCACTATTTGCTTTTTCATAGTTCATTTTTTCAAAGTTAATACATCATTTGCAAAATTTTAAAAATTATACAACTAATAACAAATGATAAAAAGTCAGTGATGAGTGGTAAACACTTTGACATTGTTCCCCCAATCCATTATATTTCTACAAAAATGACAAAGTTACATAGCGAAAGGAAAGGATGCAATTTATGAATGAATTTTACCTACTGAGAGTCAGAGCAAGGCTTAAAACTTATTAGCAGAGAGATGACTCAGCAGTTCACAGCATTTATGTTGCTTATAGAGGATCCAAGTTTGGTTCCCAGGACCCACTTTGAATGACTCACAACCACATAATTCCAACCCCCTGAGATCTGACACCCTGTTTTGGACTCAGTGGGACCTTTCTCTCTCTCTCTCTCTCTCTCTCTCTCTCTCTCTCTCTCTCTCTGTGTGTGTGTGTGTGTGTGTGTGTGTAGACACACACACACAATTAAAAATAAAGTAGATATTTTTAAAAAGTTAATAGCATTGTAAGGGCCAATGAGAGGCTCAGCAGGTAAAGGTGCTTGTCTCTAAGTCTCAGGACTTAAATTCAAACCCTGGGACCCACGTGGTAAAAGAGAACTGATTCCTGCAAATTGTCCCCTGACCTCTACCGGCATGCTTTGACATGTTTACCCTTTCCCCCACACATAAAATAAATAAATAAATAAATAAATAAATAAATAAATAAATAAATAAATGTCATAAGAATTTTTAATTTGTACATGTCATAAAATGGAATGTATGACATTGGCTGACACAGAAGGAACTGTGTTGTCCAACAGTGGCCACCTGCACACAGGAGCAGCAGAGCACACAGGTTTCCATATGAATTTTCCTAAAATATCTCTAACATTTCTGACAGCCTAATAGTCTGATAATCATTTATTAAGTATACTTCAATATTTGTGTCTTTGTATAATATAAAATCTCTGAGAACAATCCTGTGATTTGTGTGTGTGTGTGTGTGTGTGTGTGTGTGTGTTCTCCTTGAGTCTCAAGCAGAGGGCTTATTAGCACAGACTGATCAATAAGTATTTGTTCAACAAATAAGTCATTGAAGGCAGCCATATTACAAACATATTTGCTTTGAATAGAATTCAGCATGCACTTAGATTTATAGATCTGAGGAATAGTTGTATTGATGTTAAATTTAAGTTGTTTTCTATTTCTGTTTACTTCTTTTCCTGTTGACTGGTGTGGACCTGTGTGGTTTATCCTCATATTTGTTGCATTCCTAGGATTAGCTTTGGAAACATTAAGGACTAAGTAGGTTCCTCTAGTAAGGGTTCAGGGCTTATTAGCACAGACTGATCAATAAATATTTGTTCAACAAATAAGTCATTGAAGGCAGCCATATTGCAAACATATTTGCTCTGAATAGAATTTAGCATGTACTTAGATTTATAGATTTGAGGAATAGTTGTATTGATGTTAAATTTAAGCTGTTTTCTATTTCTGTTTACTTCTTTTCCCGTTGACTGGTGTGGACCTGTGTGGTTTATCCTCATATTTGTCGCATTCCCAGGATTAGCTTTGGAAACATTAAGGACTAAGTAGGTTCCTCTAGTAAGGGTTTATTGTCTCACTTCTGGTAAATTATTTTTCCTAAAGCAAGTACTTTAGGAGAAAAAAATAGTAACTATTACCTGCTTTAATTCCTTCCTTGATGATTTTTAAAGTTTTAGAACCTGAAGGAATACTTACTGTATGCATGATTGCTGTGGATGTGTTTGTAAAACCTCTGGTTTTAGTTAATAATACTACAAAACAAATGCTGACTATAAGAAGATATTTATTCTTTTTCAAAGGGTTGCTGAAAGCCAGTGTGAACTTCTTGTGTTTTTATTTTCATTATTTTGTGTTTGTTAACATAGTGATTATGCTACTAATAAAATGTCAGCAACAAAATGCTTTCTAATTTAAAATATGACTATAATAATGTTATTTACCTTTGTTGCAGTTCACCTAAATAACATTCCTGAATTATTTTCTTGATTAATCACACACCCCTCTCTGTGATTTTGAGTAACAGCATGCTTTTACCGCTCTTTGCTTAAATGACCTTGCCTTACATTTGTCTTGACTGGCTTCTGGTAAAGAAATTGTAAACCAGTTGAATGCTCTGAGCAGCTTAGATGAAGATCAAGATGACTGCATAAAGCAAGCAAATATGCCTTCAGCTAAATCAGCCAGTCCCTCTGAAGGTCTAAGAGCTTTCCTCCTTTCTTTCTGCTCTGATTGCCTGTGTTTACTGTGACTCACTACGTCTTGACTTCTGTCTGTACTTAGCTGTCAGTTTTGTCATTGTGCTTTTTCTTGAGTGTTTTCTTTGGTAATTTGTAGTGCACCAACAGGCACCAAGATTAACACACCTTATTGTTACCAGTGTCATAGCAAATTTCTTAATATAAATTATTTTAAATCATCTTTTAGGATAATATTTGATCATACAACATGTTATTGCTTCACTGAGCTTACATATTATAAATATACCTTTTAGAATTTGCTTCTACGCTTGTGATTGAAAAGTGCTTTTTCTGAAAGTCTGTTTAGCACTTTAAAAATCAAAGTTTAAATTGAAGGTTTCTTTACAGTAATTCATCCGATGTAATTTTCATGTTAATATATGGGTTCCTTTTGGTTTATTTTAAAATGTTGGTATACTACAAAATACTTTAATGGCATTCTGTCCCTGATAAAATACTGTCTTATTGTTTGCAGGCATTGTGAATTTTTAAAATTTGAAATATTTCTTGAATTACCAATAATCATGATTCACCGTAACTATAATAAACTTTGCACATATGTTTATTTTTAGAACTTATCAACACACTTAACTTTTTGGATGAAGCATGGAAGGACTTGGCTACTGTGAATACAAATCCATTTGATGAATCTGATGTAACAGAATTGAATCCATTTGGAGATCCTGACTTAGAAGGTACCATGTTTGTCTGTACATTTAAAGTCTTATATAGTCAAATTCTCCTGAGCTGTGTGGGCATAAAAAGACAATTAAAAAAGCAATTTAGGTCTATAATATTATGTTTAACATCACTGGCAGTTGATCATTAATCATTTCTACCACTGATTTGCTTTTAAAGAAAGTAGAAACCCTTACATGCCCGTTTATAGGGATTTGTGTTTTTAGTTTTCTATCAGTTTGGTCAAATGGATAGTAAAGGTCTAATTTTAGAGATAACAGTATTTTACCTAGTTGGTACACAGTAAAGCCTCCTTTGGTAGGTATTACCATATGAGACTATACTTACACTGATGAAACAGAGGTAGCTTCTATTTTACTCTAATGTTCAGAGCATCTGAACACCCAGCTATATCCAGTTCCACATCTCTGTTGAGAACAACAGTCAGTAGTGAAAATGAGCTCTGTGTATGATAACAGAGCACTCTCTCTCTCTCTCTCTCTCTCTCTCTCATTCTGTCTTTCTCTGTCTCACACACATATAATATCATATTTATAAGGAATAAATCTAAGGACTTTTTTGCTGTTTTTTTTTCTTATCAAGTCGTTTTAAACCTTTAATGCTTGAGTAGGGACTGCTGAAGAGGTGAGCCTGCTGTTTAATTAAACTCCTTGCTTAAAGGAAATGCAAGAGTGATTAACCACTGTCTACATCTTTTTGACTGCTCTTATGAAATCTTCATGAGCTTTAAAGAATTTTGCAGCTGACTGTCGTGATGAACATGAAGTTTCAGCTTCAGGACTCACTGCTAGAGAGTTCCATTTTGTAATCCTGTCTCCTCCTTTTACTTTCTCACTTCTTACCTCTCTCCAAAGTAGTAAGTTTAAATTAATAATATTTAATTTTGTGTGAGGGCTACATACCATTAACTTATTATAAATATTGATAAAGGTTACAATAAGTTAATAATAAATCTTTGAAGTAGTCCATTAATGTCTTTTCTTAGAGAAACAAGACACAGGAGTTAAATGGTTTGAACTTGAGGTAAATAAGGTGACTCCTGACCACAGAAGTGGGTTTGTTTATGTATTACATGGTATGAGTATATATATTCAAAAAATTATTAAGTATTTCAAGATATCAGCATTCGAGTTTTTCATTTCATTAGAAATAAGTAACTTTTCTAAATAGATGTGAATCTGCTTTCTGAGGCAAAGGGAAATGGTAGATTGAACATAGGACCGTATTTCTGTTCAGAAGTAAGTGGCCTCATTCAGTCTTTAAATTCTGTGTGTAAAGCTAAGGAAATATATAGCAATGATTATACTCTTTAAATATGTCATTAGAAACTTTGGAATAAGTGTTTTCTTTCAGAAAAATATTTGATTTTTTACTGATTGAAAGTTGTATCCCCAATCAACAAAAATATTTTAAGAGAAAAATGTATTGTAGTTGTTTAGATTTTTTTTATTTTAGTTTTAATTCTCATTCACTCATTCATTTTGGGGGGTATCCAAAGCTTCAATTTTTTTTATATTTATGTACTTCAGTGACCCTAAAAGTCACTGAATATGTTTGTTACCTTTTATATGAAATAATCTTAAACTCTTCTTTGTGACTGACCTGTTGTCATTTACCTACTTTCTTGCTTTTTGTTTTGTAACTGATGAGTTTTCTCAGATCAGTTTCTTTAATCCTTATCCTGAAAGTAAAACTAAAATTCTTGTGGTTGGAGAGATGGCTCAGCAGTTAAGAGCACTTGCTACTCTTGCAAAGGACTCAGATGCTGGTAGCTAACAACCATCTATAACTTCAGTTCCAGATCTAGTGCTCCCTTCTGGCCTCCATAGGCATTGCATACATATGATGCACTTACATATGTGTAGACAAAACACTCATACACATAAAATAAAATTTAAAAAATTTTAATCTCATTTATATTTTAATATTTTATCATTTTTATTTTATATGTGTGAGTGTATTTGCTGCATATGTGTAAGTGCACCCATGATGTGCAGTGCCTGCAGAGGTCATAAGACAGCATCACCCTGGAACAGGAGTTATAGAAGGTTACAGATTAGCATGGCTAAACATGGCTTTTTTGTGGGTACTGGGGATCCAAACTCAGGCCCTCATGCATACACAAGCCATTTATTTACCCACTGAGCCTCCAATTATAATTTTCTTGATAAATAATGAATTTTCTGTTTCGTACTAGAACAAATTTTAGAGTTGTCTGGCATAATTAAAATACTTTTAATATATTG